CTGCAATTCTGATACACCACCCTTTGGGTGTTCCCTGCGATAACATCTATTTTAAAAGGTGGTATGTGTCGTATCTGGAGTGAGGCTACGCACAGACAGAAGGTAGTGTAAGCTTTGTTGTAGGTAGTAAGGCTCAGAGACTGGCATCTCGAGTTGTTGGGTAAAATATGACATGGTATGTAATCCCTTGTGGTCTACAAAGTGCCAGATAAGATAAAGGCCTTTATTAAGCCACCATTGGAACTCCTGAGGTTAAAGGCTAGGTGGGAACATTGAATTGTTAAAAATAGTTGGCATTGGGGTGTGAGGGGCTGAAGAGACACTGATTTACATAATAAATCCCATAAGCATATCGCGTGAGAGAGCGTAGGACAAAGAATTGCTCGTCGATATCTAGGGTGTAACTAAATCAAGAGGTCGATAGGCTGGGGGGCACAGGCCTGAGCTTCCAGCGCCACCCAGTCAGGTTTGTAAACCTTGGAATTTATTTGAGATCATTTCTGGGCTGCGTAGTAGTATTTCCGGAGATCTGGGACAGATAGCTATCTCTTACTAGAATCCATGTACATCGGAGTTTCTTCTTAATGCCTATGGGAGCCATTGTTTGTCTTTTTTTGTTTTGAGGCAGATCAAACGAGATAATGGATCAAAACTGGTTGTGTGCATATGGCCTAATGCTGGACAGACATCTCACCATGAACAGATGGTTAGGCATTGGATCATTCAGATCTATTGACACCATCTGCTTGCAGCTCAGCCAATGAACAGAAGATGTGCATGAACATGTAAACAGTTCATTCGCTTTTCTGAATGAAGATGGGGAAATATTGGTTCAATGGAACAGAATTATTTTTTTTTTTCAAGGAGGTGTGCAGTAACATGGGTCTCTGATAAGAAGCAACTTTATATTCCCTTCCTCTGGAAGATCTCATATTGCCTGATCTTTGCTGGTTGGTAGGTTTCGTTCAACAAAAATTATACTACTAGCACAAAATACAATACTACTTTAGATTGTTTTTATTACATTCTGAAATTGCCTCTCCAACATGTAATCTTGGTCAGTCTTCTGAGCTTCCAGGCATCCTTGCATACTTTATTTTTTAAGTTAAATTATATCATTTATAACAGGATTGGAGGTTTATTTCTTTCCAGTCTTCTAGACCTTGTTGCTATACAAAAACAATCTAACCCAGCCATACTTGTAAAAAGGTTTTGTGGCCAAATTTCATCTTTTATAAAAGAAGACAGGACATACCTTTTTTCAACTCTCATGTCGCAGAAATTCTCTTTGATGCGGACAAATCTTCTGTTAATGTACTCGTTAAAATTATTGCTTCCTGGAGTTTTATTCTCTGTGGTCTTCCGCAGATTTCACTGGTTCCTCCTGCTGACATTTACAACACTACTATAGCCTGTAACAGGTGGAGGTCAGAGGAAGGAACCAGTGAGAGCTTTGGCAGACCCAGGAGACTGATGCTCCCAAAAGTTCTGTGTTTACTGTAGCATCTACTGTATCAACTGAGAGCATCACAGAGGAGTTTAGTGAAGCAAGCTGAAGGAAAGGTGAGTATGTTATGCTTGAACAGTTATAGCAAGATTGATTTTTTTTTTTTTTTTTGGATAAGGACAGGGTCACTTTAAAGTAGAACTAAAGGCATTTTTTTAGTTTGGATTTTTGAGTAAGGGAGGGTCATAACCCCTGTCAGTTTTTTTCCCCTCTGTGTCCCATTGGAGAGGTTTCCCTTCACTTCCTGTCCCATAATAAAAACAGTAAGTGAGAGGAAGTCCCTCCAAAGTGATATAAACCTTTGTTGTCAACAGAGTCACCTGAACTGTGATCCCAGTGGGAAGATTTCTCTTCTATTCCTGTTCTGATGACAACCCAAAATTTGGGATTTTCTTTCACTTTCACTCTTGACAATAACGGTGACCAGGAGAAATAGGGTGAATCCTCCTCATGGGGACACAGACAGCAATAAAAATCTGATAGGTCACTTTTAGTGATAATAATAAACAGGACAAAGCGAGAAGGTAAATCTCTGTAATGAGGCATAGACGGCAGTAAAGACTGACGGATGTTCTAATCCCTCTCTACTCTAAAGCTAAAAAAAAAAAAATTTTTGCCCTTTAATAGCACTACAGAACTGTGCAGACTGCAAAAATGGCCTGAGTGCTAACAAAATCTCCTTTAATTGACCCATAAAACCTGAAAGCCCCTATGTGGAGTACCTTCAAACACCCCCTGCAACCAATCACACATTCTCCATTACCTTCTCACTCATGGGGGGTTATTTACTAAAACTGGAGAATGCAAAATCTGGTACAGCTCTACATAGAATCTAATCAGCTTCTAGATTTTATTGCCAAAGCTTAATTGAACAAGCTGAAGTTAGAAGCTTATTGGTTACCATGTACGGCTGCACCAGATTCTGAGTGCACCCGTTTTAGTAAATCTACCCCATTATACCTATGGAACTCCGTGAGCTTGAAATATATTTTTTAATCTCCCTGGAGGTATTCCAGAGTGTAGCTCGGGGTAAAGTTTCAGTACCACAAGCGGTTACCCCGAGCTACACTCAGGCTTACCATGCGGCGCTGCTCCGGGATCTGTTCTTCTCTTACCTTGTCCTTCGCTCCCGCGATGTCCCTCCTGCAGTGTCCCCTGTACTGTCCTCCGGCGGATGCCGGCATCTATCATCTGGGTTCCGTCCCCTGCGACGTCAGGACGTACGGGGACGGAACTGGTGGGAAGTTTGAAAATGACAAAAAGTGACATTCACTAAATTTACTAAAATAACATAGTAAAAACATTACTGTATCAAAGCATTTCACATACATTTTGTCCTGAGTGCTTTGTCCTGTGCCCTGCCTGCATTTTTACTGTTCTTTCTGCCTGGAAACTGAGAAATGTCCATGGTGTCCAAAAAGCGTCCCTTTAGGTCAAAAGCGCTTTTAGACCAGATAGAGAACAGCGATAGTAAATCAGAACCACTTGCAGAATTGAGTGATAATGATTTGTGGGGAAATTCGTCATCAGACACTGAAAACGATTTTGCGACTTTGCTCAGCGATGTGCGAACTTGGCGCTATATTTCAAATTTCAGTGTTTCTGGTTTGATTATATTATCGAATTAAATTAATTATTATGATATTATTTTTTATGATTATTTATTAAATTATAATTTATGATTTTATGTTTCAAATTTTAACATACCCGGGATGTTTACTAGACTCTTGTTCGGACAGATTTCAGTGAGTTATTCCTAAAAATTACAGGCCTACAATAAAAAAAATACATATTTCAATGCAAAAAAAAGTACCGCTTTGAGCACAGAAATATGGACATAATCAGACCGCTAGGGAGGTTAATCAAGTGTGTCCTTCATGACTAAAACTATTTGGCAAGCAAGGCTTCCAGCCTGGTCTGTCATAATAAAAATTCTTATAGTAGATTGGCAGAGGGCTGCTTGATTTGCTTGACTTTCTACATAGGGGGTTTATCTCCTTATCTCTACACAGGGCATCATTGAAAAACATACTCCAGCAGCTAATGAAGCTTATTGACTTATCTAAATATTCAGTCTCTTTAGAAGTAGAAAATCCCATGTAATCTTTAACCTGTCATTTCAAAAGCCACTTTCGATCATTTTAAATCTGCAGCTTTCTTTAAAGCGGAGTTCATTTGGTTTTTGTGTTTTATTAAAAATCAGCAGCTACAAAAACTGTAGCTGCTGGCTTTTAATAAACACACACCTGTCCCAGGATCCAGCGATGTGCTCACTTTTCCTTCTCCCCTTCTCTCCCTGGCACCAGCATCGCAACTGTGTGAACCCGGCTGCAACAGCTTGTTGCGCTGCCCCTCCCGATTGATCCGGCAGTCTTCTGGGACCTGTGAAGTGTTCCAGAAAACTGCAAGGGGAAGGAGGGGGGCCGAACTTTCAGTTCGCCACCGCAAACTGAGCCAGAAGTGGAAGTGGGAACAGGAATCCGCTCCCCCCCAAAAAAAGTGCCAAGTTGAGGGGGAGGGGGAGGAGAGGCAGACAGGTGGAGCTTCCCCTTTTTTGGTGGAGCTTCGCTTTAAAGCATATTTAAACCCAAAAGGAAACATTTAAAGTGGAACTAAAGGGAACTATATTTACCTTTTTGCTTCAACAATTCCTGTCCCTCGCTGGCGCTGGTATCTTCTTCTGGGTGCCGGTCTTTGGCTGTCTTCAGAGATGTTACATGTCTCTTCTGCAATACAATCCTGCCTGCTCGCTGTTTGTCACATTGGAACTTTAGTTCTGCTATAATATAATGCAGTTTACCAATCTTTAGATGTGATGGCTACATTCATTTGTTAGTCAAATCAACAAATATACAATATACAACACTACCCTCTCCCCCAGATTAAAAATTCTTCTGTCCAAGGGTGTCTCCATTGCTCCTTCATCCAGAGTAGGGACACCCTAACACAGGAGGTGTGTTACTGGCCAGATCACTGGGTGAAAAAAACAAACAAATGCAGTTACTACATCTAACATTTTTTGTCAATCTTGGTCCTTGTTCAGGTACCTCCTGTTATGGGGTGACCATGGTTTGCAGAGGCTGCAGATGGACAGCAGCAATGAGATGTAGCAGGAGATAAAAAAAAAAACGGTGAAGACATGAATTTTATTTAAAAAAGGGCAATTGTATCATTCAGTTACCCTTTAGATATTGTGCTATGTTTTAGTTCTTTATTAAAAACTTCAGTGACAACCATGCTAGTTGCCTGGCTGTCTCTGGCTTCAGTACTTTCTGAATCACTGGCCCACAACAATCATGTGCAAAGTGAAGTCAGAGCCCCTGTTCTTTATATTTCTGGGCCAATATCTCAGAAAGTACTGAAACAGTGGATCAGCATGGTGTCTCAGAATTTGACACTGGCAGCCTGCATCATTTTCCCAGTATATGTTTCCTTTAAACTAAAATTCTGTAATATATTTGAGTTACTAACTAGAGCATTTTCCTTTTTAAAGGGCTTCCTGAGGATTTTTCCAGTAAGGATTTCAAACCACCATCTGAGCCTCCTTGCATCATTGAAAGTCTTTGTTGCCTCCACCACGGTTTGCTTTTGGAAGTCAAAGGCATTAAAGAACATTTCTGGAAACCATATGTTCATAAGCTGTTTGACAAAAAGGTATGTGGGGCACTCTGTTGGGTATTGTACTAAGACAGAACAGACATCATATTTAATAGCAACTTCGCCCCCAGAAACACAAGAAATGTAATGGTAAACCTTGTATTTCAGGTGGGGTTACCCATGTCATTCTACTCTTATCTTTTATATCTCAACTCTTATCCTAAATCTCAACTCTTTGACTTTAACCTCACAGTGCTGGGTGGGGGCAGCTATAGCAATGCATCCTTTCTTGTGCATTGTGCAATACTAAGATAAGTAGTAGTTTAAAGTGGAAATAGGAATTTTTGGCAAGACCTGATGAATACTGAAGCCCTCTTTACACCCACCTGGTGCATTACTGCATACATCTTAAGGTGAATTCATTTTTAACCACTTTAAGACCAGACCTATTCTGACATTTCTCACATATATGTAAAAATCAGCATTTTTTTTTTGCCACAGAATTATTTAGAACCCCCAAACATTATATATATTTTTATGCAGAGGCCCTGGAGACTACAATGGTGGGTGTTGCAATTTGTAATGTCACGCAGTATTTGTGCAGCATTTTTTCAAAGGCAAAGTTTTTTGGAAAAAATATATTTTCATGAACTTAAGTGCACAAAAAAATAAAAGCTATCCAGTGGGTTATTAGCTGTTAAGATTGCTTTTACAAAAAAATCCATCAACGGCAGAAAAAAAAAACATTTCAGGATGAGGGATCCTGTGGCTGCAGACATCATCCCAGTATAACCACTTAGCTTTCATTAAAATAATACCTAGTGATCCTGCCATGAACGTACTTGTTCAGGGACTTCCTGTTATATAATGACAGTTCTCTGTCCCTGCCTCCCAAATGCTCTTCAGTGTTGTCACCCTGTCACATGTGCTTCCATTGGAGACTATAGGCAAACATTCTGACACACATTACACAGGCATGGTCCACTGTTTTCATTATTAGGGATAAATGGGAGTGTATTTGGATCCTAATCTGAACCCACATAAGTGACTTGTCACATGGGCCAATCATCCACAGCCAGGGCATTCCCCACCCCAGAGCCGCATGTATATAAGCGGCATGTGTATGTGCAGCTGTAGGGCAGGGAATGTCTCATCCGTAGATAATCGACTCAGTAGAGTTGCAGCTTCCTGGCAGACTTACTCATGTGGGTCCAAACTTGAATCCGAACATTCTTGGAGCTCATCCAGTCACTGTCAGAAAGCCAATCCAAATCAACAACCTGAAGCTGCCACTGTAGCAAGTGCATGTAGACAGAAAGTGGTTGCATGGAGGTGGAGATGTAACAAAGAATGAAAAAAAGGAGAGAACTATAAAGTGTTTTCTAAAAGAGAAAAAAAGGACTGCAGTTATTTAGCAATCTGTCATTCTGTTGGGGTTTACATCTAATTTAGGCCAGCATGAACTGACATTAGAACTTTGTGGTTACTATGTAACATAAATTGTGACAGCACAAACATTGCCTCATAAATAACACATAGCAAGCTGAATAGACTTTTATTGTGCATATTGTCATAATTGTCATATTTTGTATTGAAATTATTGAGGAGTAGCAGTTTACCTAAAATAAATGAGTCTTCGTTTAGCTTTTTGACTTCATTATAGTATAACAGACACCACAGGAAGAAGATTTGCCTGTTTTGATGAGGTGGATTAACTTGTAGGTCCCTAGTATACAGCAGGAAGAAGTATGTTTATACAAAAGAAGAAACCAATCCCCTGCAGTGGAGAGAAGTGCACTGACAAACAGTCAATCTAAAATCTTTTTGGGTTGGGACGGTTGCCATTTTTTTTGTAGTGTAATTTAAAATCTTCGACTGATTCAGTATTGGCACTCTGTCTGCTAGTGAGCGGGCCAGGGAAACCAGAAGGAAAACTACAAATAAAAGCAACAGAGGGTGCACCAGCCTGGTGTAAACCATCGCAAAGGTAATGTGCCGAGCTGGTGCGCCCTCTGTTTCTTGTTTTTGCAGAATTAGATTTATGCCTTTAGCATGTCATCTCGTACTCTGTAAAAGAGCTTCTTAGGCTCCCTTGTTGCCAATTTGTTGCATTTTCAAAATCATCTTATTACTTGCTTACTGTCCGGTGTTTCAGATCCTTAAAGGAAAATCAGAAGCACTGACAGGATTCTTGGATCCAGGAAACTTTGCTGACAGTTTGTAAGTTGCCGTTGTTATTTCTTATAAGCAATGTCAAGTGTCATCATAGTAACCATGAAAACTGTTTTCTCATTCTCTTATACATTATGTCAATCTACAGAAAGGCCATTAATAAAGCGTATGAGGCTTTTGTGCTGTCTGTTGGCCATCTGGATGAGCGGGTGTTCCTTGAAGATGCAGAAGAGGAGATTGGAAGTGTAGGACGCTGTCTGAATCCTGATCTAGGAGCAGAGTCTGTAGAGAGGGCCCAGGTGTCTTACCATTTGCAGCAACATTTTGACAGGGTAAGCGTAAAAAGCCACAGTTGCATAAGACTAGCCCAAAACAAAGTTGTCAGGAACTGGCCTGACATCTCTGAAATACATGCACATTTCCCTTTGAACATGCAGAAAATGCAGAAAAAATACTTACTGATATGCCAGAAATAGTGTGCTCCGATCTTCTTTCACATGACAAACACACCTAATGTCAGCCCTGTCTACTCTATTTCTAAAGAATTACAAATAACACAGATCTCTCCTCATCCCCTCCTCCCCCCCCAAAGCACACACACACATACACAATTTCAAGAAAAACAGGTTTTTTGGGGCACTTATTCCTCATATATAACAAAACTTTTTCAAAGGCATATTGACCAAACCAAAAGGAAGAAAAGAAACATTTATTGTGAGGGTTTACATACACCTTAAGTGATTATATGTGTGGTGAATATAAGAGACATATGCTTATAGGCTGGAATGAATACAGGCCAGAAATTAAAATATTATTAGGGTGTCTAGTAGCTATTGGTTAAATTTTGTTAGACATTTAGGGCTCATTCACATGGGTGGCTAGGGGGCGTCAAAATCAGGTAGTTGAGTTGTTGTTTTTCAATCCACCTATAGAGAGAGGGGAATGCAAGGCTTAGAGCTGTACACATGTACACACAGCATGTTGCATTCAACAGATGGTACTGGCTTTGAATTTGCCATTTTTAGTTAGTATAGGATAGTGCCACAACCACATATAATGTACAAAGTTGCAGTGTGGTGGTGCGGCAATTACAGGGTTAAAATATTCGAGGAGGTGACATTTCTCCTTCTCACTGGTTGACAAATACCTCTGAAAAGTGATCCACTGTGAATTGCTTGGTTGTAGTGTCCAAGCTTCTACTAAAATGAAATGAAAATTCAAGTGTTCACTTGGTGTAGCTATCAGGGAGCCTGCAGTACATACTGAATTCCCAATGGTAGAGTTTGGTTTTCCTACAGCAAGAAAAAGCTTTGACTTACTGTCACAACCAGAGCGTTGATATTCCAGCTTCAGAGAATATAAAGTTGCTTTGGAGGACACTAGCACAAGTCAAAGTCAAGGAAAAGTGTATTACCAGTAATGATAGTGATATATGTTACATATTTAGCAGTGTCAATGTGCCATCTTAGCAAAAATACTTTCACTTTTAATGCAGATGAAGTCGCTGAGGATTTCCACGCCACTCACCTCCTTAAAATACATTAAAGAAAACAATCCGTACACCACGCCTGTGTCCAGTGCTACATACAGTGTCAGTCGCTTGTTTGGCATCCTATCAGGACTAAAACCTGCTCCGAGCGAGAAGCTACTCCAGATGATGAGGTATCTTACTCCCTTTTTTACCTTTCCTATAAATAGAATGTTATCATCTAAGGCAGGCCATAGACAGGAAAGAGATTCACATTATTCCCTCATCAACACAGACAGTGCTGACGGGAATCCTTCCTGTCAAGCAGTTGTCTTCTGCCAGTGAGGGGGAAACAGTCCCTGCTAGGAGAAGACAGTGATTATTGCTAGTGGCTGTAGCAGCCTCTAGCGATAATCACAAGTGAATCCGGCCATCCCCGCTGAAAGAAAACAGTGATTATTGCTAGGGACTATAGCAGCCGCTAGCGATAATCACAAGTGAATCTGGCCATCCCTGCTGGAAGAAGACAGTAATTATTGCAAGCGACTATAGCAGCCGCTAGCGATAATCACAAGTGAATCCGGCCATCCCCTCTGGAAGAAGACAGTGATTATTGCTAGGGACTATAGCAGCCGCTAGCGATAATCACAAGTGAATCCAGCCATCCCCTCTGGAAGAAGACAGTGATTATTGCTAGGGACTATAGCAGCCGCTAGCGATAATCACAAGTGAATCCAGCCATCCCCGCTGGAAGAAGACAGTGATTATTTCTAGGGACTATAGCAACTGCTAGCGATAATCACAAGTGAATCTGACCATCCCGCTGGAAGAAGATAGTGATTATTGTTAGCCATTATAGTAGCCACTATCGATAATCAAGTGAATCCGGTCTGCCCACACACAGTTTGAATCATCTATGGCATAGGATATGTTTTTATCACAGGATAAAATGTTAGAGTAGCACTTCAATCCATTTATCAAAGAAATCTACATGTATGACCAAGTGGTAGCAATGTGTATGCGGAATATGACTACGTTTTTATTCATGTTTTACTTCTAGTTTATCTACAGTGTAGTATATGGTAAAAAGGATATGTTTGCGACAAATGGAAATGTATGCCTAAAGCAAGCTTGTCAGCAATTCACAAATTTGAGTAATTCAGACTGAGTAGGTGATGTAAATTGCAATCAAAATTCTAGCAGTGCATGGCCAACTTTAAAACTGCACTCAAGCAGAGAGTTTGCCTTCAGTGAAAACTTTGTTCAGTAGATACAGAGATATATTTATATTTATTTAGTACAAGTGTTTAAATAATGCCGGCAGTCTAAGGTCCCTACCTCATTGCATACATACACATTTTAAGGCCTGTTTTAGACAGGAGCCAGTTACATTCCAGGATGTTTGGATTGTGGGAGGAAACTGGAGTACCCAGAGGAAACCCAGCAAGCAGGAAATCTAGGGCTGCAAGGTAGAAGTGCTAATCACTAAGCCCGTGTATGCAGGCAGCTGAAAACATGCAAGTCTTTAAATAGGCCCAGTTTGTGACAGGTTCACTTTTATTGTATTTAAGTTAATCATTTTTTTTTTTTCAGATCCTGCTCAAGAAACCCCTCACAGATGATCTCAAAATGTCTGAAAGATATGTTTGATGTGTTTTTGTGAACATGCTGTGTCTGAAGGAGGAGAGACCCAGTACTGCAAAGGTTTGCCATATTGTTTACATGCTGTTTATCTGAATGCAAACATTGGCATGACACATCTGGCATACATACAGTATTTGCACCCAGTGGACACCATACCATTTACACCTCATGAACGTTCGAACTCTAGGTTACATCTTTCATTTAGTGATGGGCCGAACACCCCCCCCGTTTGGTTCGCGGTCGAAACATTTGAACCTACCGAAAGTTGGACCTCGAATTACAGTTCACTAAGTTATGAGTTATATTAGTAGGTCATGCCGTATTTTTGTAATGAAAACATTCTTTAATGTTTTTCGGATTTTTGATTTCCCCAGATTCCGCCCCCCATGTGAATGAGTATGAGTTACATAGTAACGCTACCCATTCACAAAAAAAAAAAAGTGTTGGGGTACATAGTAAAGCTACCCATTCACAAAAAAAAAAAAGTGTAGTGTAAAAATGACAAGAGACAGTCTTTGACAAGTCCTTTAATAAAAACAAAATGTAAAATAATGTCCCCTGAAGTAGATCTAATGTCTGACAGTAATAGTGTCTGTGAGCTCTGGCTGTGTCCATGCTGGCGGCCTCTTGTAGCTGCACCCGCTAAGTATGCACCAAATAGTGACAGGACTAGTCACAAGCAGAATGCCCTGAAATGAGAGACAAGGTGGAGACTGACAGGCAGAATTGTTGCTCCAAGTGCTGGACAGGTGAGAGCCTCCATGTACTGAAGATTTGACATGCAAATGGGTTATGAGAAACTTTATATGCAAAGGATAAGTTCCACAGACATTTGGAATGTTTGAATACAGGCGTTACTATGGCTTTGTTCTCCCCACTCAGATGCATGCTGCTGTTCTACTCACTGTCATCTGCTGCCTAATCTGCTCCCCATTTGTCTTCGGACTTTGTTTCAATACAACAGCCTATACACAGTGCAATGCTGATTGATCCAGCTGGGGACTATCCGTATTCCGTAGTGGTGCAGTAATGATCTGCCTTTGAATGATTACTTAGATGCGTTATGAGGCAATGAATCTTTTTGGATCAGGTCTCCCTTTGGACATTTCCTTAGGATAGTTACCCATGTAATTAGTATCTCTGTTGCCATCCACACCATTAGTATAGGAAGCACTGCCGTTTAGTATCTTCCCTTGATGAATCTAGGTGTTTGCCTTTACTTGCTATCAGTATACCACAGGGAATATCAAGTTCTAAGTACCTGATATCTCATATGAGATGGCAATTCTATAAATTGGCTTGTACTGGAGCGTTCCCTGTGGTACAATTTTGTGGTATTGAAAGCAAGTTGTGCTGATTCAAATACTCAGTATTGAGTGAAACGCATGTGGGTATGGTTGTAGTGTGTGACAGCCTGGGCTCTAATGGGGAAATATTGAGGTGACAACATTGTCAGCTCCTAGTTTAAATGTGGTTTGGGAAAATTTTGTTATACTGTATTCGCCTTTTGATGGTGATTAATGTTTTATGTGATCTGCATTTAATAAAGGGTGTTCTATTCATGTTTTCATAATATGCTGCAGTTGGTTTTCTTGTGAGGCTGCTTTCTATTGGTTAGTGCCTCTTTGGCGCTACCTATATACGTTTGTGTGGTTGGTACTGTTCATAGCCTTTTGTGAAGCTTTTTCTAAAAAGGGCCACCTTATTATTGATCAGATAATCACTGTATGGGTTCAAATTAGATTTAGAACCCAAGACGCATTGAAGTTTTTTATTTTTATTTTTTGGTTGGTTGGTACCGCTACCCATTCACACAAAAAAAGTGTAGTGTAAAAATAACAAGAGACAGTCTTTCACAAGTCCTTTTAATAATGAAAAACAAATTTAAAAAATGTCCCCTGAAGTAGATCTAATGTCAATCACGATGCCTGCCACCACCGCCGTGGCCAATCACAATACACTGTCAGGGCGTGGAGGGTGAACAGCCTGTCAAACGCCCTTACCGTTCGTGTGTTTGCCGAACACACGAATGGCCCATGTTCGAGTCGAACTTATGTTTGACTTGAGCAGGAAGGCCAACCCTACTTTCATTTTTGTAAGACTAAAGCAGACATCCCTTCTTTATTAATACAGTACAGTTCAAAAGTATTTTGCACCTTCAAAGTTGTAGGGATGCTGTGTACATTACATGGTTCAAAAAATCCATCTTAATTCCAGGGGTAAATCCTTTCACAAAGCACTATAGTAGGCAGCACCTCAATGATGCTATCGCTTCCCTAGCACAGTTATGTGTTGTTCAAAATGGCTTCCACAGTGTGCAGTAACAAGTCCACTCATCCACGATTTTTAACCAGATGCAGTTTCACCTTTCTGCAATTCGCTGGGTCTCTATTCAGATACACTAGACTGAAAATGAATAAACAAACTAAAATGCCAGAACAGAGTTCAATATGGAGACAGCCATGTCCTGCAGTTTATTCATTCCACAGAAAACATTTTTTGAAAGGGGACTAGTATGGACACATGACTTGTAAGAACATCTTGTGACAAAAATGTTTTCCTTCTCGCTTCTGTTCTGCTTTTATGTCTTGCTAGCAGTGTTGGGGCATTGCTGGTAACAAGACTGGAATCAGTGTCCTGAAGCAAGTGGTGTGAAACCTGCTGCTGGGAAGCACACTGTGCTGCATCATCAATGACACAAAGCAGCAGGAACTGGTGGTACAGAAGCACTTAACATCTCAAAAGCAGCACTACTGTGGAGTCATGAAATGTCATGTTATTGTATTCTTTTCAGAACTAGGATGGTGTTTATAAATCAGACCAAGCAGCAGTAGACCAGCATAAAGACAATAGTACCTACTTATAAATGTACCCCTAAATATTGTCTTTTAATAAGGCAAGGAAGATTAAAGTTGGCATCATAAAATAATGCTTCTGAAAATCCTTTCACAAAAAAATCCTATCTAACAAAACATAATTGAATTATATGCATTGTTTCTGTGGTTTTAAATATGATTTAACATTTTAAAGAAGAATTCCCTGTATGACATTTTTTAGTTACATTGGTCCAGCTTGGACTAATGTAAATATGCAAATACAGTACCATACCTGTGGGATCCATCTAAAAGCTGAAAATCAGTGTAGTAGATGCTGCTTTCCCAGTGATATTCATTAGCTTCCAGGTCCAATGCTGAGTGGCTGTCTTGCTGCATTCTGATCACAGGAGGTTGGCTGCTCTTCACAGGTGACATTTAGAGGCTGGTTTGCATTTTCTCACTGTTTGCAAATCATTCTATGATTTAATAAGGTAGAGAGGCGGGCAGTGATGGCACACTCAACCTCAACCAATCAGAGAGTGCTTTGCATTCCCTGAGAAAGTACCAGGTATTCTTTGAGTGAATTATTGGTTGTTTGATTCTGTGATGTACTTTTTTTCTTTTATAAACCCAACTAAAAATGACAGACCTTTCAGAATTTATAAGCATCAACTGACCACTAGACAAGTGAATCTATTAACTGATTCCTTTATTGTATAGTACATTGTTATTTCCAAGTCATCTACTTGTGAATAACCTAATTAATTTGTGCTCATTCTTTTTTCTTATCCACAAGGAGGAGGAGAAGAGTGTCCCCTAACATTTCAATGAGCTTTTGTAGACTCTCCCATATCCCTATAGATAGAATGCTGCAAAGTTTGGTTAAATGTCAGTGATCAACCTTTTTAGGTTTGCAGACTTTCCCATAACCTTAACTGAGGTGGCCAAAAATATATATTGTTAAATTTTTTTTGTCCAGACCATGATAAAGAAAATATACACAAAACCACTATACTGTACAACCCCTTTAACATGATGTAATGACAGATTACATACCTTTATGTTTAGGTATGTACCAACCAGTATATAAAGTTTGTGTAATGTCAGTAACAGAAGTCCTTATGGATAACAGTATTTTACGGGCATCTCTAGAGGCTTTTCTTTTTGACTTACTTAACATACATTTTTAGGTCTTTGTGAAATATTGTATATAAGTAAAAACACCAATATAAATTAAATAACTCAAGCACTTACTGTGGTGAATAAAAAACAAAAAATACACATAAACCGTATTTTGCGCTCCATAAGACGCACCTGACCATAAGACGCACCCTAGGTTTTAGAGGTGAAAAACAAGAAAAAAAATATTCTGAACCAATGGACTGCAGACACAGTACAGGAGATGACCAGAGACTGTGGACACAGTACAGGGAATGACCAGAGACTGCGGACACAGTACAGGAGATGACCGGAGACTGCGGACACAGTACAGGAGATGACCAGAGACTGCGGACACAGTACAGGAGATGACCAGAGACTACGGACCCAGTACAGGAGACGACCGGAGACTGCGGACACCGTACAGGAGATGACCAGAGACTGCGGACACAGTACAGGAGATAACCAGAGACTGCGGACACAGTACAGGGAATTACCAGAGACTGCGGACACAGTACAGGGAATGACCAGAGACTGCGGACACAGTACAGGGAATGACCAGAGACTGCGGACACAGTACAGGGAATGACCAGAGACTGCGGACACAGTACAGGAGATGACCAGAGACTGCGGACACAGTACAGGGGATGACGAGAGACTGCGGACACAGTACAGGGATGACGAGAGACTGCGGACACAGTACAGGGGATGACGAGAGACTGCGGACACAGTACAGGAGATGACCAGAGACTGCGGACACAGTACAGGAGATGACCAGAGACTGTGAACATACTACAGGGAAAATGCCAGGGACTGCGGACATAGTACAGATGACCAGAGACTGCAGACAGTACAGGGGATGACCAGAGACTGCAGACAGTACAGGGGATGACCAGAGACTGCAGACAGTACAGGGGATGACCAGAGACTGCGGACACAGTACAGGGGATCACCAGAGAGTGCAGACACAGTACAGGAGATAACCAGAGACTGCGGACACAGTACAGGGAATTACCAGAGACTGCGGACACAGTACAGGGAATGACCAGAGACTGCGGACACAGTACAGGGAATGACCAGAGACTGCGGACACAGTACAGGGAATGACCAGAGACTGCGGACACAGTACAGGAGATGACCAGAGACTGCGGACACAGTACAGGGGATGACGAGAGACTGCGGACACAGTACAGGGGATGACGAGAGACTGCGGACACAGTACAGGAGATGACCAGAGACTGCGGACACAGTACAGGAGATGACCAGAGACTGTGAACATACTACAGGGAAAATGCCAGGGACTGCGGACATAGTACAGATGACCAGAGACTGCAGACAGTACAGGGGATGACCAGAGACTGCAGACAGTACAGGGGATGACCAGAGACTGCAGACAGTACAGGGGATGGCCAAGAGACTGCGGACCTTTGGGGAGGGAGGGGGAGTGGGTACCTGAAGTTGTCCTTTCTTTAGTGTGGGCACGCTGGCTTCTTCCCGCGCCAGCTTCTGTGACAGCCGGGTGCCCACTGCGCATGCGCGAGAAGTGCTGCGCTTTGTGAATGGCCCGGCGCGTTGTGGGACCTATCGTGTCCCAGAAGTCGCCGGACGATTCACAAAGCGCAGCGCATCTCGCGCATGCGCAGTGGGCACCCGGCTGTCACAGAAGCCGGCGCGGGAAGACTGTACAGCGTTGGACAGAGGACAAGGAAAGGTCCTGCAGGAGAGAAGAGCTGAGCGGCTGGCCTGGTATTCTGACATGGTGGCGGCGGCGGAAATACCGGACCGGCCTCTCCATATTCGCTCCATAAGACGCACTGACATTTTCCCCCCTTTTTTGGAGGGAAAAAAGTGTGTCTTATGGAGCGAAAAATACGGTATATATAAATATAAATACTGTAGCCACTAGTGCACACAACCCATGTCTCAGTGGGGCAAATAATAAGAATAAAGGTGAAAAAAAAATGCTGTGCTACATAAAAAAAAATTGCTCATTATCTATGAATCAAAAAATTTGAAAAATAAGAAATTAAATACGAAAACCAAGAATCACCCAAACCAAAACAAATAATAATTTTTAATCGACCAAAAAAGTAATGATAAACTCAAGTCCAATCAAAATAATGTTCTTCTGTAAACCCTCCTGTGGATACAAAAATATGTGCAGCTGTCACAAATATCAGTGAGAAAACCTCCTCCACCATATATCTGCTCACCTAACGTAGTGTGACCTCACATTGTACAATGTTACGGTCTAACTGCACGTTTGGTCCCAATTGGACTCAGAAGATCAGCTTGTTAAATGAGGTCTCCAAAGTATGCTTCCTCCTTATAAATGTCTTGCTGTATTCCTCATTAAAAAGAACCCAACATAGTGCATTATCCTTTTAAACTTTTATTAAGCAATAAAACATAGTAAATGCACTCACGTTCTGGAGGTGCATATCTGCACCATCTATAATGAACATCCGGCAATATATCGATTAAGCACAAGATGGCAGTATCATCTGAACAGCAGAGTCCTGTATGAGCTCGGAAAACTGTCACCATAGGGAATGTATTGCAAGGCAAAGCATGGGCCCTTCTCTGTAAATGCAATTGCCTGCTAAAATGCCGTTCCTAGTGCGGTTTCACAAATACTACAACCGCTGTCCCAATGAATGTAGATGTCGTGACATCATCCGTACACTCCTCCCGCAGGACTCTACACGACTCTCCTGTTCAGATGATACTGCCATCTTGTGTTTAATCGATCTATTGCCAGATGTTCATCATAGGTGGTGCAGATATGCACCTCCAGAACGTGAGTGCATTTTCTATGTTTTATTGCTTAAGAAAAGTTTAAAAGGATAAAGCACTATGTTGAGTTCTTTTTAATGAGGAATACGGATGACACCAAGACGTTTATAAGGAGGAAGCATACCTCATTTAACAAGCTCATCTTCTGAGTCCAATTGGGACCAAAAGTGCAGTTAGACCGTAACATTGTACAATGTGAGGTCACACTACGTGAGGTGAGCAGATATACAGGTGAAACTTAAAAAATTAGAATATCGTGCAAAAGTTCATTTATTTCAGTAATACAACTTAAGAGGTGAAACTAATATATGAGATAGACTCATTACATGCAAAGCAAGATAGTTCAAGCCCTGATTTGTCATAATTGTGATGATTATGGCTTGCAGCTCATGAAAACCCCAAATCCACAATCTCAGAAAATTAGAATATTGTGAAAAGGTGCAATATTCTCGGCTCAAAGTGTCCCAATCCAATCAGCTAATTAAGCCATAACACCTGCAAAGGGTTCCTGAGCCTTTAAATGGTATCTGTCTGGTTCAGTAGGAATCACAATCATGGGAAAGACTGCTGACCTGACAGTTGTGCAGAAAACCATCATTGACACCCTCCATAAGGAGGGAAAGCCTCAAAAGGTAATTGCAAAAGAAGTTGGATGTTCCCAAAGTGCTGTATCAAAGTACATTAATAGAAAGTTATGTGGAAGGGAAAAGTGTGGCAGAAAAAGGTGCACAAGCAGCAGGGATGACTGCAGCCTGGAGAGGATTGTCAGGAAAAGGCCATTCAAAAGTGTTGGGGACTTTCACAAGGAGTGGACTGAGGCTGGAGTCAGTGCATCAAGAGCCACCACACACAGACGGATCCTGGACATGGGCTTCAAATGTCGTATTCCACTTGTCAAGCCGCTCCTGAACAACAAACAACGTCAGAAGTGTCTTACCTAGGCTAAAGAAAAACAGACCTGGTCTGTTGCTCAGTGGTCCAAAGTCCTCTTTTCTGATGAGAGCAACTTTTGCATCTCATTTGGAAACCAAGGACCCAGAGAATGGAGGAAGAATGGAGAGGCACACACTTCAAGATGCTTGAAGTCCAGTGTGAAGTTTCCACAGTCTGTGTTGATTTGGGGAGCCATGTCATCTGCTGGTGTTGGTCCACTGTGCTTAATTAAGTCCGTGGTCAACGCAGCCGTCTACCAGGAGATTTTGGAGCACTTCCTGCTTCCTTCCGCAGACGAGCTTTATGGAGATGCTGACTTAATTTTCCAGCAAGACTTGGCACCTGCCCACACTGCCAAAAGCACCAAAACCTGGTTTAATGACCGTGGGATTACTGTGCTTAATTGGCCAGCAAACTCGCCTGACCTGAACCCCATAGACAATCTATGGGGCATTGCCGAGAGAAAGATGAGAGACATGAGACCGAACAATGCAGAAGAGCTGAAGGCCGCTATTGAAGCATCCTGGTCTTCCATACCACCTCAGCAGTGCCACAGGCTGATAGCTTCCATGCCACGCTGCATTGAGGCAGTAATTGCTGCAAAAGGGGCCCAAACTAAGTACTGAGTACATATGTATGCTTATACTTTTCAGAGGTCCGATATTGTTCTATGTACAATCCTTGTATTATTGATTGCATGTAATATTCTAATTTTCTTAGATTGTGGATTTGGGGTTTTCATGAGCTGTAAGCCATAATCCTCACAATTATGACAAATCACGGCTTGAACTATCTTGCTTTGCATGTAATGAGTCTACCTCATATATTAGTTTCACCTTTTAAGTTGCATTACTGAAATAAATGAACTTTTGCACGATATTCTAATTTTTCGAGTTTCACCTGTATGGTGGAGGAGGTTTTCTCACTGATATTTGTGACAGCTGCACATATTTTTGTTATGCACAAGAGGGTTTACAGAAGAACACTATTTTGATTGGACTTGAGTTTATAATTACTTTTTTGGTTGATTCAAAATTTTTATTCTTTTGTTTTGGTTTGGGTGATTCTTGGTTTTAATATATAATTTCTTATTTTTCACATTTTTTGATTCATTGGTATTGTGCAAATTTGTTTTGATGTAGCACAGCATTTTTTTAACCTTTTTATTCTTATTGTATATAAGTAATTATGTGTTATATCCTGGTTTCAAATATGTCTCTGGCTTTTCTTTTCCCCTTGCTGTAAAATACCCATTGTTTACAGTACACAATGGCTCAGGCAAAATTTAGAAACCAACCTGAATGAGTCAGAGGAGTGACTAAACCCTTCCCTCTCCTTTACTTCATACAGCTCTGTTTTACGTTATAAGCAGAGAAAGGGGGTTGGTTTACGTAAGGCAAATAAGCTGTTCACTTTGCAAGGGAAGTTGCACTTAGCGTGAGAATTTTCCACGGAGTCTACTGAATTTGGTGGTTTCACTTTGCCAAGAATATCCAATCCAAGGAAATAATAAAAAAAAACAGTATTTTTGCTTGCACAGGATGCAATCAAGAAGGGTTGGCCACACATCGGATGGTTGATGAAATATCACAATAGTTTATTGAATCCATAGGACATAAAAGGCACCAGGACAAGTACAGAACTGTTGATGCGTATCACATGATCACTTGCTTATTCATAAGTGCGGTCAACCCTTCTTGATTGCATTACATGTGGTGTCGAGCCAGAGCCTGCACCTGCCTTGGTTTAATGTGGATCGTTTATCTGAGGGGTAACGTCTTTGTTCTTTGGATCTTGCTTGCACAGGATGATGGCTGTCAACAGATTTGCTGATTTCTGATTCCTTCTGTATTGAAATGTATTTTAAATTGGTGGGTAACTCATGGCTTCACCCAGGTTCGACTTCCTCACCTCATGTACCTTTCCTTCTTGGTCCTCTATTCGCGAGGCTTTTAATGTGCTGCTGACTGAGTTTTTTTCAGCTCCGTCATTGGATACCTTCTCTGAGACGCAACTCTACATTTCCCTGTCAGTCCACGGCCTTTGAACATCTCTTTCGGCTTTCCCCAGGTGCCTCAGGCACTATCACTCTTCCATATTCCTCACTAAATACTGTAACTCCCTCCTCCATTGCTTACAAGTCCAGCTGGGAGAGCGATCTGAGTTCACCCATCGAATCAGAGGATTGGACTAAAGCCTGGTCTTCTTTCATTCTTTCACTCATTGTTCATTCAACACGTCCACAATGAAAGCTGCACATAAAGTTCTCTTGAGGTGGCACTGGGTCCCTGCCCGCATTGCAAGCTCAAGCCCCGAATATGATGCTAGATGCTTCAGAGGCTGTGGACAACTGGGTGACGTGGTTCATACCTGGTGGTCATGTCCACGTGTCATGGGGTTCTGGCCCAGGGTTTTTGGCCTTCTATACTCCATATCCCTGTCCCCAAAGAAGCTAAACTGGCCCTGTTACACTGTCCAATTGGGACAGTGTTCTCTCACCAACAAAAATGTGCCACTTACCTGTTTATAGCCGCCAAACATGTCATCGCCAAGGAATGGAAGAAACCATAAGTACCTTTTCCACATGGTGAAAACTAACCTGACAACCCTGATGTTGCATGAAAAGATGGCCAGCATTCTACATGATTCTCATGCAAACTTGTTTAACGTATGGAGCCCCTGGTGGACTTATGCTTTTCCTACCCTATCCCCATTTGGTTTGGGTATTTCCTGAATTTTTATTTACATCCAGGCCTGCAGGAACTTCCGCCATCCTTCTCCCTTTGCTCTTCCTCTCCCAGTTCCCTTCTTTCTACCTCTTTCTTGTTCTGTCTCTTTTTATTTTGTTTACTTTATACAAAATGAACATTATTTCAATAGTTTTTATGCTTACTATTTGAGCCCTCAGGACTAGACCCTGGTTCATTGAAGCTGTCCTGCGGCTTAGGTCGTACGACTGTGCTGTAAATAATTTTATGGCAAAATAAGTTGATATAGCCATCGCCCGGTTTATTACTTGTCTTCTTTTTGCTTCATACACCTGTGCAGACGACCAATAGTATTGTAATGTTATATGTTTTAATAAAAAATTTATTGTAAATGTACTGTCCCCTACAGTGTACATTGTAAAGCGCTGCATAAACTGTTGTCGCTATATAAATTCTGAATAATAATAATTTCTGAGGATAATTCCCTTGCAAAGTGAGCAGCCTATTTACCTTTAGTAAATCAACCCCAGAGTGTTTGATAGGAAATTGCTTTTGCTGTGCCCTCTCTTCCGAAAACCCTACTGCTCTGTGAACTGTGTCAAGGGTGTACTTGTTTGAAAATGCTTAAATTTAAATAAAGATTTTATATAACTAAACTATTGTAAAATACATAAACTATTAAAAAAAAATAATAAAATTGATGTTGAATGGTTACTTTTTTGTTGCATCCAGGCATTCCCAATTCAAGGCATGTGCCGTGACCACTGACAGGTTTTGGTGGGGATTTCCAGCTTTCAAGTCTGAAATAGATCAATTAAATTGACTCGAGGAAGCCTCCTCTTGTCTTATAGATTATAGAGCAAATCAATATACACATGCTTTACCTCCATTCAAGTAATTCCATCTAAATGAAACTGTTTTTAGTTTAGAAACAAGCAAGACTGAGCATTTGTAGACTCAAAGGAAAGGAATTTGGAAGTCCCCAAAAGAATTACCTAGATATCTTGTGGATTATAAGGAAGACTTGGCACAGATTTCTTCTATGTGTGCTACTTGGAATTAACATTATACTATACATTTCAGGATTCGATTGATATAATTGGGGCCCCCACATAGTATACAGTCTTTGCACTATATTTTGAGAGGGTTGCTGATTTTTAAAATTTAATCTAAATATATTTTATTTATGTGGTTTCTCTTTTGATTTTTTTTCTTGCTGCGTCTGTGCTTTAGTTAAAAAGGAGGAAGAGCACACTGACCTGTTGCAGTAGAAGTTCAGATTTATTATTAAAATAATAAAACCAATTCTGCACTCACAATGTCCTTTCACTGTGGAAGTAATTTTTTAGTGTAAGGGTTTTTGACAAATATTTTTATGATACCAAATACACTTTTTTTTTCTAGATTTAAAGCTGAACTCCAGGCAAACAGCAACATATACAAATGAAATACATGTATGGGAGCTGTTTCATCTACCAAAAGATTTGTATTTTTGTTTATCCAGCCTGAAGATTTACACAGCTCTGCCACACAGCACAACCCTGTCTAGCAGGGCAGGAGACCTGATGCTTCTCTGCTGCAGTTTTATTTATACTAACATGTCTCATCCCCAATCCAACCTTGTGACAAGGACAGTGAAAAGGAATTTCAAGGATCACCTACCAGTTTATGTATACAAGAAATCAATAATACAGAGATAATTGTATAAAACATCATTACAATTTTTATTCAACAATATATAAAAACGAAACTACATATAATAAAAAAGTGAATGGATCGTAATTTAAAGTTACACTTGTTGGCGATAATACCGTATTTCACGGTAACAGCCACTTCTTCAGATTATTGCACTCCATCTAGGCCATGGGTAGACATCCAACAGAGACCACAGATAGAGAATTGACATGCCCATCGCTGCCTAACGCCAATTTATATGTAATAGATAAATTCCAAATTTACAATGTAGCCCAAATCCACAGATAGAGAATGGGAGACATTCAAGCAGGTTATGTAAAAAAAAAACCACGCCCCTACCAAAAAAAAAAAGAGATGGAACACATACATCTGGTAGAGTGATGTTATAAGAGGGCAGACTTCAATAACCAGGGGAGGCATACAAGTCTCATATGTGGTTTCAAATAGCCTCTCATTTCTGGTGTGATACATCAGTGAAAAAACCACCACTGTTCTAGTACATGTACTGCCAGTAAACAGGCTGCCTATTGGCTATGTAATGTGCCCACTACCTTCTGTCAGTCACAAAGAGAGAGAAAGGGACCTGATGGATAATAGGTGTCCCCGATTCCCATCAGGCTTGGCCTACCCAGCTACAAACTCCTCAACTGCTGAGCTGTCTGTGTGAAAACTGCTGCATCAGGGAGGAGACTCTGCTGCACTGAGGATGGAGTGTCCTTATGAACACTTACATCTCAGTGCGCCTCTGCATGACAAATATTGGTGCTTGCCCTAAATTCTTGTGCCTGTTTCCAAGTGCATGAATTTGGGGTAAACATTGACATTTGTGGTGTGGAATGTTGTAGACACTCTATGAATTCCCCAGGAGGAGTATTTCTATGTCCTAATTGGTACAGTTACTATGAATTTGTAGAAATGTGGATGTGAAATTGCATTAATGTATTGGAACGCACTAAAAAATTTTCAAAGGCCCAACGTTTGTAGATTTCAGAAGAAAACCATTTGAAGCACTTATATTTTTGGTTACCATGCACAGAATTACTGCACCATAGTAACTTGTGTTTAAATATTTTCCAGACATTGCAAAGAAATACTTCAAGCTGGCAGAGGTGCTGTATTACAAAGTTCTGGAATCCATTATTGAGCAGGAGAAGAAACGACTGGGTGATGTGGATCTCTCTGTAAGGAAATATAACTTTTTTAAATTGCTTTTCTGTGAGACATACTACTTATAATGTTCATAAATGGTCATTTGTTTAACCCCTTCACTACCAAGGTACATTTATAAATGTGCAGGTATTCGGGGAGAAAAAAAAGCTCAGCAGGCGGGAGCTTTGTACTGATTTTAACAGCCAATTGTCGATTCAGGTAAAAGTGGTCTGAGGTGCGCTAGAGCCACTAAGTCACTATTACATTGCTCCAAAAGTCCCTTAAACCCCCTCCTCTTCTGCCAGCATGACTGTGGTAATCTATGGCAAATTTTAGAGTAAGAAGAGCTCAAGGAATATCTGATCCCCCCCCCCCCAACGCGACTTATGAGTTACTGTAAGCGTTGAAGAGTGTCATATTTTAGCAGCAGCAAGAAGTTTTACACGCATACCCAACTGCAACTGTTGCCGGGAATGTATTTCAATCTGACAAGTGGACTGTTAGATGAAAGCAATTGGGCAGTTGTGCAGCCACTCAATCGCTTCCACACACCTTGTCAACTGTTGCCCTTATGTTTTCTGGGTGCCGTGCTCCCATCGGCGGACCCAGCACCGGCAAGGCGGGCGCCGCCTGGTAGAAGGGGGAAGATTAGCACTTGTTCCCTTCCTACTAAGAACATGGATGTGATGTGTAAAGCTAATGGAATGCATATACAGCCACTGTTTCGGTATTCTGACAGCCGCAAGTGCTGGCTGTCAGAATACAGTAACTGGAGGGGGGAAGGAACCGGAACCTGGCGTCAGCCGGACACTAGGAAGCGGAGCTCCCGATGCCTGTACTTGGAGTGTGATAGTGGGAAACCCCTGTCCTTCCCTGACTGGATCCCCCTGTTTGGTGGTGACAGACCGAGTCTTGCTTGGCGGGTGGAGCAGCCAATGCTGTGAACGCTGGAATCTCGGGAGCTCCCAAGTGACAGAAGGAGAGCATTCTGGGAGCTGCTGTATGCAGGGAGGTGACCTATGTGAGGCCCAGAAGAGTGGTGAACGAAATCCCAGTGGCAGAGGAGGAGAAGCACTCCGGGCCTCGCTATAGCCGAAAACAAGGTGCAGGACAGCCGCAGCCCCCCTACTAACGGGAGGTGTCCATATTACTCGGAACCAGAGACCCCCGGGGAATGAAACATCAGCCCCTAAACTGAGATTGTAGAAAGGACGAGTAAGAGCTGACACCCCTCTAAAGAGGGACACGAAAAGCGGAAAGTTTCTTTTTCTCTTATCTGTTTAACTATATCAGTATAGAGTCAGTGCTTGGGTGGATTTCAAAGTAACACAGAAGGCTCTAAGGGGGTCCTGTGGACAGTAAAAGAAGAGAATGGAATAAGGAAAAGCAAGGGGTTACCCATCGAATATTGAAGAAAGGAAGTGAGAGGCAGAACTCTTTCTGAAACTTTCCATTTTTAATATGTTGTGCCTTGTATGGGAGGAGGAAGGAAGTGAGCACTTGCCAGGACTTTCTAAATAAATCTGTAGCTATCTGTATTTACCAACGGAATTGAAAATATAGTGCTAAAGTGAAGAGGGACGGAGGACTGGTAACAACACTGTAATAATATGAAGAGTAGATCGGTGAAAGGTGGAGGGACAAAAAACCCCAGTTGAGTACAATAAAGAAATACAGTCAGGTCCATAAATATTGGGACATCGACACAATTCTAACATTTTTGGCTCTATACACCACCACAATGGATTTGAAATGAAACTAACAAGATGTGCTTTAACTGAAGACTGTCAGCTTTAATTTGAGGGTATTTACATCCAAATCAGGTGAACGGTGTAGGAATTACAACAGTTTGCATATGTGCCTCCCACTTGTTAAGGGACCAAAAGTAATGGGACAATTGGCTTCTCAGCTTTTCCATGGCCAGTTGTGTGTTATTCTCTCATTATCCCAATTACAATGAGCAGATAAAAGGTCCAGAGTTCATTTCAAGTGTGCTATTTGCATTTGGAATCTGTTGCTGTCAACTCTCAAGATGAGATCCAAAGAGCTGTCACTATCAGTGAAGCAAGCCATCATAAGGCTGAAAAAACAAAACAAACCCATCAGAGAGATAGCAAAAACATTAGGCGTGGCCAAAACAACTGTTTGGAACATTCTTAAAAAGAAGGAACGCACCGGTGAGCTCAGCAACACCAAAAGACCCGGAAGACCACGGAAAACAACTGTGGTGGATGACCGAAGAATTCTTTCCCTGGTGAAGAAACACCCTTCACAACAGTTGGCCAGATCAAGAACACTCTCCAGGAGGTAGGTGTATGTGTGTCAAAGTCACCAATCAAGAGAAGACTTCACCAGAGTGAATACAGAGGGTTCACCACAAGATGTAAACCATTGGTGAGCCTCAAAAACAGGAAGGCCAGATTAGAGTTTGCCAAACGACATCTAAAAAAGCCTTCACAGTTCTGGAACAACATCCTATGGACAGATGAGACCAAGATCAACTTGTACCAGAGTGATGGGAAGAGAAGAGTATGGAGAAGGAAAGGAACTGCTCATGATCCTAAGCATACCACCTCACCAGTGAAGCATGGTGGTGGTAGTATCATGGCGTGGGCATGTATGGCTGCCAATGGAACTGGTTCTCTTGTATTTATTGATGATGTGACTGCTGACAAAAGCAGCAGGATGAATTCTGAAGTGTTTCGGGCAATATTATCTGCTCATATTCAGCCAAATGCTTCAGAACTCATTGGACGCCGCTTCACAGTGCAGATGGACAATGACCCAAAGCATACTGCAAAAGCAACCAAAGAGTTTTTTAAGGGAAAGAAGTGGAATGTTATGCAATGGCCAAATCAATCACCTGACCTGAATCCGTTTGAGCATGCATTTCACTTGCTGAAGACAAAACTGAAGGGAAAATGCCCCAAGAACAAGCAGGAACTGAAGACAGTTGCAGTAGAGGCCTGGCAGAGCATCCCCAGGAATGAAATCCAGCGTCTGGTGATGTCTATGCGTTCCAGACTTCAGGCTGTAATTGACTGCAAAGGATTTGCAACCAAGTATTAAAAAGTGAAAGTTTGATTTATGATTATTATTCTGTCCCATTACTTTTGGTCCCTTAAGAAGTGGGAGGCACATATGCAAACTGTTGTAATTCCTACACCACGTTCACCTGATTTGGATGTAAATACCCTCAAAATAAAGCTGACAGTCTGCAGTTAAAGTACATCTTGTTCGTTTCATTTCAAATCCATTGTGGTGGTGTATAGAGCCAAAAATGTTAGAATTGTGTTGATGTCCCAATATTTATGGACCTGACTGTATATGCCCCCTCAGGAAAAACGTCCAGAACGTCATACCCCTGAGAGAAAGCAGGGAATAAAGGGGAGACATGATCTGGGAAATAATAGTGGTGATCAAATTAGAATATCTTTAGCAGTATCAAGCTTGGACCAGATTAAAAAGCTAAATAATATGGAAGGTGGAGCAGATCCTAGAGATTTAGAAGAACAAAGATCAAGTTTACAAATACCTACAAAAACAGAAATGGCAGAGATGTTTGCGAAACTAGAGCATGCCCTAAAAAGTGAAATGGCCGTTTCACATAAGGATATGGGACAAGTACCATCCCGATTGGAAGAGACGGAGTAAAAATTGGAGATACAAGCAGAAGTAATTTTGAAGATAGAAATGCAGGTAGAAGGCATGCGTAAGGAGCAAAGGAAATTGGCATATAGACTAGCATATCAAGAAAATAGGGATAGAAGAAATACATGAGGATCCGGGGGCCTGCCAGAAGTAACATCAGGAGAAGATCTAGTGGAAGAAATTAGAAATTAAAAAATATTTAACCCTAAAATGGAGAGGCCAATGAGAGAACAATTGAAGATCGATAGAGTCCATAGGATTAAACGACTCCAGGGAGTAGCCTCAGAAGTTCCTAGAGATGTATTTGTGCGTTTCCATCACTACGAAGATAAAGCAAATATTTGGAAGAAGCTGCGAGGAGTTCCAGAAGTAAAATATGGAGGAGTGGGCTTGCAAATGTTTGCGGACATAGCATCAGAGACTCTAGCTAGAAGGAGTTTTAAAACCACTATTGGACTTAATGCGTAAAGGGAATGTCCAATATAGTTGGGGATTCCCGGCATGCTTGATCAGTTGGAAAGACAGACAGTCGGCAAGGTTAAGGTTTCTAGAAGATCTAAAGCCCTTTAGCGTAAAACTGGACTTACAGATAGTAGATATTCCAGGATGGTCTGAAAGATTAAGGAGAGTATAGATTTAAGGAAAAATAGGTGGCAACGGGTTGCTAAATAGAGAACAGGATAGAAAGGTAGTGGTATAGTGCTCCCTAGAGTGGGGTTTTTTTTTTTTTTTTCTTTTTCTACAATATAGGGTATATAAGACAGATACAGTCAGGAGACAGGAGGAGGGAAAGGAAAATAGAGAAGGAAGGAAGGGGAGATGTAAAGGAAAGGTTTAAAAAAGAAGGGCATTGGGAGGCTTAACATGACTCGGGTCATTGTAAAACTAGGAGGAATTGGTCCAGATAGATGTAGGTGGTCTGAGTTCTGCCCCGAAGAGGAATCAAAGGTTGAAAGTAGCCGCAAAAGAATCCCAGGCTAGAACATGGGCCAGGGGAAATAGGAAGGGGAAAGGGAGTAGGGATGGTGGGTGGGCTGGAATAAGGGAAGGGAGGGAGAAGGAAGGTAAAGGTCACCCTGAAGAGAATCTCCCTGAAGCTTGTCCCAATTTGTGTATATCCATCCCCTGGTGGAGTTCTCATATAGATGGAGAACAGACGAGAAGGAATGAATACATGTAATTTTATGACATACAGTGTGAAAGGATTGAATACCCCTGCTAAAAGGCATATGTTTTTCAGGGAAATTCATCAACATTCGATGGATGTTGTGTTTCTACAATAGACACATCTATCTCAGGACACAATCATTAAGCTACTTTCCAAATACTATCCTATATGGTTCTATGTGGATTCACCTATTAAAAGTGCAAAAGGGGGGTG